CCCCCCCCCCCCCCCCCTCTGCCCTGCAATGGGCAGGAGCCTTTGGGCATGCGAAATTTCAGGATACGCAAATCGAACAATTGCAAAGGACATGAAATGCTTAGAAATTCTAATTATGTCCAATACGCACTAGTATATAAATCATTCAGGCCTGTTTGGTACACGGAATTCAAACGATGGAATTGGAATTGGAGACAACAATTCCAATTCTATTGTTTGGTAGCACAAAAATATGTGGATTTGGAATAGGTAGTGCTAAGAATAATTGAAATTAGGGTCCGTTTGGTATAAGGAATTGGTGGAATTGGAATTGAATTGGAATTGAAATTCCATGGGATTCAATTCCATAGAATTGAATTCTGTCAATTTCAATTCATTTTTTGCACTATCAATTCCAAATCCACATAATTTTTGTGCTACCAAACACCAAAATTGGAATTGAAGTCCCCAATTCCAATTCCATAGTTTGAATTCCATGTACCAAACGGGACCTTAGAGAATTCAATACCATCCAAATCAATTCCACAGAATTTCAACCCCAATTCAATTCCAATTCTGTCAATTCCGTGTACCAAACGGACCCTCAGAGTGTACAAAAGAACAATTTGTTTAAGGATGTTTAATAACCACCATAAAATGAACATACAATTTGACAATCATCCAAAGAAGCTTTTCTGCCTTCAATATATATATAAAATGTTTACCAAACATACAAAGATATCTTCACCACTTATGTAGCTTTGGCCAAAGAAAGACTGAATAAGTGTTAAAAACCCACAAAATATAAAAGTATGGGCCTGCTGAGTTACAAACCCATTAAATTTAATGGTTTGACATTTTCAAGTTTATGGTTTTCATTAAAATCTAAAAAAGTATGTTTAAATTTAATGGGTTTGTAACTATACAAGCCCGGATTTTTTTTCTATATTTTGTGGGTTTTTTATCACTTATTCCATCTTTTTTTTAACACTGATTCGGATTTAGTCTTCTGGATACAAGACAATGAAGACAAGTCAACTTTTTTCTCGAAGTACATCCACCACTTACATTATGTTTGGTTCAAGGAATTTGGAAGCAAACGAAAAGAAAATGGTTTTCTCTCATTTTCCTCACCAAAATGGGAGTAATTTGGTTTCCCTCCATTTAGTACATTTTGCCTTTCCATTTTCTTTTCCTTCCACTTTTCCTTCCTTTTCCTCTCTAACCAAACAAGAAGAACTGTTTTCCACTTCATTTTCTTTTCTTTTCCCTTTCAAATTCCATGAACCAAACAGTGTTACTGTATTTTGTTACTAAGAGTTCATACATGATACACTCAGGCTACATTTTCCTAACCTAAAGTCAACTACTCTCCTCCTACTTTGCCTCCCTACTCCCCTGACATTAGCCTAACTGATCATGAACTCAGGTTACTAGGCACAGCTACTGGCTCTATTGTAAAAATCAGGAAAAGACAGTAAATACTAGAGAGAGGCAGAGAGCAACTGATGAAACAGAATACCACTACACAAATATAATACACAGTTAACAAAACACATTATATCATCGTATACTGCAGACTGTTTCACAAGGAGTGATGCAAAAGAACGTGGAGGCATCAACGGAAACTATGTTCTAAGTGATTTTTTTCCAAAGGTGATAGAATAGGCTGACACAAATAGATCACTACATATTTTATTTCATACATCTCTAGCATGAAGCGACTTGAATGTTATACCAATACTTTCAAATCCATTGGCACTAAAATGTCTACACCTAAGAGATGTTGAAAATTTGTAACCTTAACTAAGTGAGCCTGATGGTGGGTGTATGGAGATTGGAGACCTTACCCCTAACTAGAAAAGCTAGAGAGGCCAATAGCCAATAACACCACATCGAATTGAATACCACTGATTCATGAATGCAAGAAGAATGAGCAAGAGTATCTCACCACATCATGAAAAATCACACCTTTGCATCTAAAACTAACAAACCCTAGCCCATGTATGTTTACAAAGCCCAAAATATACTCTGTATTAGGTAGTTTACTAAAAGAATTTTGCATAATCTAAATGGCGTCAAGCATTACCCAGAAAC